GTGAATAATGTGGAACTGTCCATAAGTCAGCAAGAGGCTTTTTCTGAGCCCTCCGGAGAAGCTGAGCTCTTGCAATTTCAACCAGAGGCTCCAGCTAAATCTTTAGAACTCCCTCAGCAGGAGACTACACTTGACAATCTACAGACTTCTGAGGAGGGCGAGCCATCTTTGACCTCTCAAGAAGCTGAAGCTCAGCCTCCAGAGCTCCCTAATGAATTCATAGCTCAGCCTCCAGAACAAGAGGAAATAACAGTCTCTCCTCTAGGTGACAATCAAGTTCAGCCTCCAACACTGAACCATGGTGTTGTTACTCCTACAGAGTTGTTGTCTAGAGAGGTTGAAATCGAAAGTTCAACTGCACGGGAGGCTCCAGCTCAGTCCTCAGTGTCCCTTGAGCAGCTTGAAACTCTCAGAGACAATCAAGAGCCTATAATGCCACAGCCAGACCCTGCTGTAAAGGATGAACAGGATGCATTTGATAGAGAGGTCCCAACTGCACCCACAGAGCTTGCTGGGGAATATTCTTCAGACCCGCCTAAGAACTTGCCTATGTCCCCAGACCCCTCTGGTGCAGCAGTTTCTGTGATCCAGCAAGAGCTCACAGCTCAGTCTTCAGGACTCATTTCAGCCCAGCCTTCAGAGTCACCCAAGGATATAGAACCATTTTCAGTCACCCAGGAGGAGGATGCAGATCCACTTTCAGAGCCACCCAATGAGATGGAACCTTCTGTAGCTGAGCAGATGACCGCACCTCAGCCTGCAGAACCCCTTGAGGAAGAGGAACCATCTCCTGCACCGCCATCAGCCGCATCTCCTCCTCCAGAGCCTCCCGAGGAGGTCGAATTTCCTCCCACCCAGCCCATGATGCTACCTGAGCTTCCAGGTGAGCCACCCAGCAGGAATACAGCTCACCCTTCACCCCATTCTGAGTTGACAGTTGCAGCAACAGCTCAGGTTCAAGCTCAGCAGCCAAGCATCTCATTTCATCCTTTGGACATGGAAGTCACCATCATTCCAGAGCCTACTACAGACAGTGAATTTTCTACTGCCCTGAAGACTACAGCTCCTCCTTCTAAGCACCACACAGTGACACCTCCACCTCCAGACTTGGTTCAGACTAAGCGTTCAAAACTCAATCTGCTCACAGTTCGACCTTTGCACTGGAAGCTTATCGGCACTCCAGGAATTAGTGCAAAAGTCAGACCTTCTCCACGTATGCAGGAGACCCCATCCCAGCCTCCAGAGCCACCTAAGGAGACTGTCGTTCAAACTCCAGCATCTCATAAGGTGAAAGTTGTAACTCCAGGTCTGGAGCCAACTCAGCATCCAACATCACCCGTGGTCACAGACCAACCTTTGGAGCTCACAACTCCAGTACTCACCATAGAGGCTCAGGATTCTGTGCCCCTGCGGGAAGCTGCATCTCCTCCTGTAGAGCAGCCTGGGGTAGTGCTCACATACCCAGAGCAGGCGCAGGCTCAGCATCCAAGCCTGGCTGAAGTCACCGTTCAGCCTTTGGATGTGGAACTTGTGGTCACTGACTATTCCGTGAGTAACTCTACAGGAAAGACTTCCACAGTGCAAGAGAAGCAGAATGCCAGGACGAACACTAGTATATGTGAGCTCTGCACCTGCCAGAATGAGACCTTGTCCTGTACTGGTCTCAGCCCAAAGTACCAGCTCCACCAAGTGCCTGTACTAGAGCCCAACACCACCTTTACCACCTTCAATTTCCAAGAAAACGCTATTTTTTACCTTGCTGAAAATGTCTGGACAAGATACAAGTGGGCTGAGAAACTAAATCTCAGTGAAAATGACTTGACTGAATTACATAAAAATTCCTTTAAAGGCCTGCTGTCCCTCCAGTATTTAGATTTATCCTGCAATAAAATACAGTTTATTGAAGCAAAGACGTTTGAACCACTACCATTTTTGCAGTTTCTAAGTCTTCGTGGCAATTTACTCACACAGCTTAGCTTTGGAACATTTCGGGCATGGCATGGGATGCCGTTTCTACACAAAGTCATCCTCAATCACAATCCCCTGTCGACTGTTGAAGATTCTTATCTTTTTAAATTGCCAGCCTTAAGATATCTCGACTTGGGAACAACACAAACGCCACTTCCGGTGGTTGAGAACATCCTCATGATGACGCTGGGACTAAAAACATTGGTCATCCCGAGGCATATGGCCTGCTGCCTCTGCCAATTTAAAAGCGATATTGAGGTTGCCTGCAAGACAGTCAAGCTGCACTGTGATAGTGAGTGTGTGACTAATGCCACACTGTGCCTTGAGGAAGCCCCAGTCGGGAACGCAGAAGGAGCCTTCATGAAGGTGTTACAGGCCCGGAAGAACACCAAGACCGAGCTGGTGATTGAGTCTGAAAAGTCATCTTCTAAACAAAGCGATGTCAGTAGGTCGGACCTCGAGAATGAGGAGCTTGACTCTAATGATGCAAACGAAGAGGTTGGAGAGCTCAATTCCATGCTGCCCTATTTCTCAGAGATAAATCTAGAAGATGTAGACTCACTGTTGCCATTCATTCGGCTCTTTTCCTCAAATGTACAAAATATAGCTCATCGCCAGGGTTACACAAAAGACAGTGTGAGAAACCCCTCTCATCAACCTGTGCCCAGCACTTCAGCTTACAGAAATGAGCTGAAGAAGCTGTATATCCTACAGAATTGGTTAAACGCTGAAATTCAGCGGGAAATTGAGGCCTTTAAGAAGAAAGAGAAAACTGCCAAGCTCATGCAGTCCAGCCTTTCAAGTCCCAAATTTCAAGTCGTTGCCAAGAAGTTGGCAAGTGCTCAAGCACAGGAAAACAGCCTGGTAGAAGATCAGCACGAAAGCAAAAGGCTGCGGACAGTGGACAGGGTCCTCAAGGGCCCGAAGGGCATACAGAAAAGACTGCTGAAGGAAAGGCAGAAAGAGAAGGTCAGGGAGAAGCAGGACACCCTGCTACTGGCAGAAAAAGCCACAGGTGGACAAAGCCTCAGAAGCCCCAGCACAGGGAAGGCGGGGCAGAAAGAGGGGGCGCTGGGGCCCAGGAACTTGGCCGGGAACCCACTTCGTACAGAAGAAAAAGCACCCAGGTCTTCCTCCCTGCAGGCTCCCCTGCTGGGAGGATCTGCCATCTCCGCCTCTGCCAAAGCCCTACAAGGGGCGAGGAACCAAGCAAGAGAGCTCACCAGGAGCATTTTGATTTTAGAACATGCCAGTACCAGAATGAAAAACACGAAAGCTATTAAACCAATCTTAGGTTCCAAAAATGGTCATGGCGTTCATCAAACTCACTCAACACCCGAGGCCCCCGGAACACTTGAGGCCAACCCCAGGGAGCAGCTCACAAAGGAAGACACACGCAGGGGGCTGAAGGTGGCAGAGAGGCCTCTGTTCTCGGCATTGAGGAGCCTCATCCATTCCCCCTTTAAAGGGCTCCTCTCCTCCTCAGGAGACCTGCGCACTCAGGAGCATCCTTCCCCCAAATTATATGCTCCTGCCCAACCCTCTGCAGGAAGCGCTGCTGTAGAAACCCTTACTGCAGGCAACGCCGCTGAAAATCATGTTTTTACCACAAACTCGCCCGTTCCAGCCACGGATTCTGCCGTGACCGCCCTCACCCCGATGCCCACCGATGAGCACACCAATGACACGCACTGGGAGTACAACAGCACCGGCACGGAGCAGCCGCCTCCAGAAACCTCGGTCCCCTTGCTGCCGTCCCCCGGCGATGAGCTTGAAACCCAGCTAAACCAGCAGCTTCACATCCTCATCCCCAACAAGGAGGTGAGGAGGTTCGTTTCTTACCTGATCCGCACTCTGAAAATGGACTGCTCCGAGCCCCACCTGCAGCTGGCCTGTGCCAAGCTCCTCTCGAGAACGGGCCTCCTGATGAAGGTGTTCAGCGAGCAGCAGCAGGAGAAGGAGGCCCAGGCCCGGTGGGACACCGAGCAGTGGGAGGGCGAGACTTACATCAGCGATAGCGCGGGGGCCTCGGGCCATCAGAAGGAGCAGGCGGGGCCGAGGGACAACGCGCAGGATCTTCCGGGCCACAGATACAACCTCAAACATGTCCTGGCGATATCCATGATGGCGTTCGTGATGCTCCTGATCGTCATCTTCAGCCTCATCAAGACTTGCTACCGCAGAAAAGCCGCGAGGGCAGGCAAGGAAAGGCCGGCGAAGGGCCTGTTCGGGTGGCGAAGGAAGCGCTCCACCCGGGAAAAGGACAGTGAGGAGGGCTCCGCCAGGCTCTGGCGGCCGCTGTGGCTCCGGGACTTGAGCAAGCCTCTCAGCGCCATGCGCCAGCAAAGCATGGTGCAGAAGCTGCATGACGAGGACTCTTCGGACGAGAACGAGCTGTTCATAAAGAACAAAGAGCCGACCAGCCAGGCCTCCGCGGAGGCAGAGATAAAGGCCACAAAGGCGTCGGCGATGGCCGAGGAAGAGGACGAGGACTGACCCCTTCCTACCTCGGGTGACTGGCAAATTTTGTTTTGGCATTGCTTACAAAATAATTTTTGTCAAATTATAATGTGTCATATTCAAAATAAAATCAAAGGCACACAAATGTACCCTGGCTGTGCTGACTCTTTGCAAAGCTGAGAGGAGGAATTTGTCTCAGGGGCCGGATCCCGGTCTTGGCGCTGGCCTGTGGCAATGTCGCAGAGAGAGGTTTGCCAACCTTAGCAACTAGGGGACCTGGGGCCCTGGCTCCGTATGTGACGGGGCAGTGTGACCCTAAAAGAACAGCCGCTGTCAGCTACAGGACATGTTCTGCTTATCTAACCACTTCACTGTCCAACTCCTCAGTGTGTGCGTGAGTGGATGGTTGGATGGGTGGATGTTTGTTAGATACAGAGGACATGCTGTGAGACATACTTTATTTTGTACTGAGGATGGAACCCAGTTCTTTCCCACTGAGCTACATCTCTGGCCCTTTTCTCTCTTTTTACTTTGATACAGGATCTTGCTAAGTCACTAAATTGCCCAAGCTGAGCTTCTATGTGCAAATCCTCCTGCCTCAGCCTCCCAGAGTGCTGAGATTACAGGTGGGAGTGTTCCACACCTGGCTGGAGCATACTCTTGAGTTGAGAGTCTTTGCCTCAGGGGATGGAGGACTCCGGGAGGGGTTGTGCTGATGGAAGAGGCCGTTCACTTCCACTCCAAACCCAAAAAGCAGAGAATGCTAATTACATAGAGGCAAGTGACCAGTGCCCACTCCAGCTGCCAATGCACAGTCGCTCATGGTCCTTTGGCTGTTCTACAATGTAATTAACCCCAAAAGATAACTCCCCTGCCCTTTAGTCACTTACAATAAAGATCCGTGTCATCCTTTACACTGAGTATGGTTGAAACCTGTTTGTTCGTTCCTTCGTTCATGAAAATGAGGCTGTACCAGACCAAGGGCCCTTCTGTTGGAAGCGAGGGTGAGGACTTGGCTTTCCCCACTGGCCTCCCTCTGACTGCCAGGCACCCGTGTGGGAGACGGAGCATTTATTGTGTGCCAGATACTGTGCTAAGCTGTAGCTAACAACTCCAAATTGTCTAGAGTCTAGCAAGGAACGCTGGCAAGTGAGCCACCCCCGTAACAGAGTTGGGATTGTTCAGGTATGGCAGTGGCGAGAGGCTGCACTGCAGTGTTGGCAGCGGGAATGGAGAACAGTGAACGGAACTGAGAGAAGCAGAGGATGGAGGAGAGCAGGCATGGCTGAGGTGGGAGGGGAGGGTGGGTGGCTGACTGCTGGGTTCACGGCTCTGCTGCCTGGCTAGAATTGGGGCCTTTGCTGCTTGGAGGGAGGAGAGAAGGATTTGAGGAGACTGGATGGGTTCAGCTTTGTGGATGTTGTTGGTGAGGCTCCTGAGCTCTTCCAGGGGGGAAGTCCATTAGGTAGTAGGATAACTTAATGCCAGATACTACTGAAAGAAAAGAGGAAATAAATCAGACAGGCAAGCTTAAATAGTGCATAGGTTCTCTTAATGAGAAACCCAAAATAGAAACAAAAAGCAAAATAAAAGAAAGATGATAGGAAATAGGGAGATAGATCTTTTGCAAAAGGGAAGGGGATCCAGAGATGGAAGGAAGGTGAAGGAAAGAAGGGATGTAAAGAGCATCGTGATGTGTGATGAACATGGACCAACTATATACTGCAGACATGGACTCATGAAAATATAATCAGAAAAGAAGAGGGGAAGCCTGTTTGGTGGCACATGCCTGTAATCCCAGCTCTCTGGGAGGCTGAGGCAGGAAAATTGCAAGTTTGAGGCCAGCCTGAGCAAACTAGCAACTTAATAAAACCAAAAAGGGATTAGAAATGCAGCTTAGTATGAAGACCCTAGGTACCCAAGGAAGGGAGGGAGGGAGGGACAGGGGAGGCAAGTTTCATTGCTCTAATAGTTTTAAAACTTGATACTTTAGAGACATGTGAGAGCCTGCATTTGACAAAAGGCTGATTTACGGCTCTGCTGTCCCTCCTAAGTCAGTCTTATTTTTGAAACAAACGCTACATCAGCCCCCAGAGCAGCTGAAGAAGGACCCGTGCCAGACCAGTGGGGAATACAGCCGGCATTTAACAGCACTGTTGGGCGGCCTCTGCCCTGCACCTTCTGCACTGTTAGCCCTGAAGGACATTTAGTCCTTGCAGCCTCACATTTTCTTAACCCTTCTGTCTTCTCAATGCATTTCCTGTCTCCAACATCTCGGGTATGTCCAGGAATACGAAGAAAAGAAGCAAGTGACCGTGTGCTGATCTCGGCCACAGGACTCTCCCAGTCTTGTGCCTTTGAAATGCAAACAAAAACTTCCTAGCAAATCTAGTACCCACAATCACAGGGTAGACAGTTTTACTGGAGGTTAGCAAAATGATGGAAGCCTCTCTGAAACTTCAGGACCTTCATAAAAGGTCTTAGCATTATGTGATTAGAGTTCAAGCTGGGGGAAAGAAGCATTCTAGTTCTCTGACCAGAGGGAAAATCCATTTCCTGCCCCATTCGCAATTCATATATCCATTCATTCAATCAACAACTATTGGGCCTCTTTCCTACTTCAGTCCCTTTGGTGGGATAGTGTGGGGGACAAAGATTAAACATGACCATGCCTCCTAAGGAAGTGACTCAGGAATGGTTGGGACTGGTGACAAGATACGCTCCCTTTACTACTGTTTCATCGATGATGAAACAAAGACGCAGGGAAGTTAAGATACTCCTCCAAGGTCAGAAGTTGGTAAGTGATTGGATTAAAAACAAACCTTTATTATGGATGACTCTTGGGCAAGTGGCCCTCACGTAAGACCTAAATTAGTGGCAGGTTGGCCCTCACCTGGAGTGGGGACAGCCGAAAGTGTGTTCCATGTGAAAACTCTTCCATGGAAAGGCTAGGACCAAGCACATTTGGAGATATGAGTGGTGGTCAAGTTTCAGAATATAAGAGTTCTTGAAATGAATCAGCTATGAAGGGCTACTTTTAGAGGTGTAGTTTCCCCCCTATAGATGATCAGAAGTTAAAGAAAATCATTGAGCTTGTGTAATTTGATCAAAACTGTACTCTAGGGGGAAAAAAATAAAACATGCCACTTGCACTTTAGCCTCTTACTGCAGTAAGTAGAAAAGAAAGGAATTTTCCTGAGTTCCTGGTATAGTAAATATAGTTAAAGTGTTTGATGTCACACATAATCCCCCCCAAAAGGTATGCTAGCTAAAAAAATGAGAGTTTTTTTCTTGTTCATATAGCCAAAGAAGTGAGAGCACCTAATATCTCTTCAAAGCAGTAGTCATTAACTCAGTCCCTTTTGATCTTTAGCTCTGCCATCTTCAACACATCCAAAATCATGGTACCATATAGATAAAGGAATAAGAAAGGGGAAGAGTTGGAGATGCACCTGCTGTTTAAATCTCCCAATGACCTCTGTTCAGCTCCACTGGGAGGCATTCAGCTCTTCCTAGTAGTATGGGGACTGGAACTGTAGTCCCTGACTATCTTAGTTAGCTTTCCGCTTGCTAGACGTAATACCCAATACCCACTCTTTAAAGGAAGAGAGGTTTATTAGACTTACAGTTCAGGGGATTCAGTCCATGGTCAAACAGGCTCCACACCTGGGCAATCATGGTGGAAGGGCATAGTGGAGAAGAGGTACTCAGTTCATGGCAACCAGAAAGCAGAGGAAGGGAACAGAGCCAGAAAAGAACAAGTGATAGATAGATCAGCTATATGACCCAAGGCCAGGCCACCATGACCCACCTAGATATATCCAAGAGAGTGCTCTAATAAATCTACTATGCACTTCTCAATCTAATGAAGTTGAAAACTCAGGATTAACAGTCACACTGACTGAGGAGCCACTTCTGTCTGACTCTGCATTTTGGTGGAAAGTTAGTCATCTCTACCATACCTGAATGAGGAAAGAAAAGCTTATTTTCCCTCCAGCAATAACTTTTCAAATAGTCTAGCACCTCATTTTGAAGCATGGTTGAGGAATGAATTTTACAAGCAAACGAGGCTTAAAATAAGAGGAGCACAGTTCCTTTTAGCACCAGATCTTATTTGTCTAAATTATTTTGGAAAGTTCAGATTGATTTTATACTTCCCTACCTAGGTAAACAAAGCTTAACTTCATTTAAGCATTTATTGATGACTTAGGGTGGCCCCAGTATGAACGTCACTTACTGTAATGCAATATGTGTGTATTTCAAGCACCTGGAGTGCTGAAAATGTTCGCTCTTGCACTGAACTCCACCTGAATTCCAGGCTATCCTGCTAAGGTTCCTCTGACCTTTCCAACTCAGAAGTTTTTATAGTCACTGTGTCTTCTCAACGCTTCTAATTTTTCTACAATTCTTCATGCTTTCTAATTTCTCCTGCCATTTGTATCACCCAATAATCCTTCCCTCCTCCGGATTTCTTTTACCTGCTTATAAGGCTCTCCAATCTTCCTTTTCTGCCCAATCCTTCCACTCATTTTGCTTTGCACATTGTGTTGGCTGCCATTTGCCTAGGTGCCCACACAAGCCATGCCTCAGAAACTCTGGCACCTCAAGCAGTTTAGCCCCTGAGCCGCTGTCTCCCCAAATATAAACCAAAGCAGAAACATGGCTCTTAAAAGATTTGTCTCAGGACTAAGACAGTAATGATTGTTATTGTTATTGTTGTTTGTTTTTTCCAGTACTGGGGATTAAACCCAGGGCCTTTGTTCTGAGCTACATCCCTAGCTCTTTTTAAATTTTTTATTTTAAGACAGGGTCTCTCCAAGCTTCCCAAGCTAAATTCAAACTTGCAGTCCTCCTGCCTCATCTCTCAGAATGCCATCGTTATTTTTATGGGAGCCTTTATGAGATTTGGCTTTATAGGCACCATCAATACAAATAGAACCACCAGACAAAGGAAGAACTAAAATAAGGGAAATGCCTCGTGGTATAGATAGCTGAAGCCAGGAGTGCAGCTCCTGAAGGTCTCCACAGAGTTACGGATCAGTTACTATGCTGAGCAGAATCTGAAGATAGCTCGACTGTACATGGGTGGAGCTAAAAGAAGAGTACCCAGAAAAAAAGAATGAATAAAGACCTTCCCTGTTTCTAAAAAGAAAATAAATAAAGAAATTTTTCTAAATCTTGAATCGCCCTCAGCCCCCTTGGAGTCTGGGTCACATGATATAGTTCAGGCTGGATTTGACTGCACTCCACAGCCCAGGCTGGCCTTGAACACAGTGATCTGCTTCAGCCTCTGAGTTCTAGGGTTACAGGCAGGCACCACCATGCCTGGCTATGAAACATTGAAAATCTCTTAAGCTGTCAGTCCCATCTGCTTTCATTCACTCCCAGGCTTCTGAAGGAGCAAGGACGCCTGCCTCTTCCTGCCAGAAACGAGCTTCATAGTATGCTACAGCCAATCTCCTATTGCCGAGGAATAAAGACAATTGTGAACTGGGCAGTCTGCCTAACATGCCCCATACTATAAACAGTAGGTGCTGAATAACTACGTGCTGAGCAAAAAACAAGGAGAAAGAAGAAAATGGGATAGTTCACTGATCCAGAGCCAGCCACTATGAGGCCCAGAGAATGAACCACATTTAGCAAGGTTAAAGCAGGTGGGAAAGTGCATCTTCAGCGTGCTGGTCATGCTAATGCCTGTCAGTGCCTGGCGCGGAAGAGGCTGTGCCTTCGTCAACAGTGCTGCCCTAGCCTCAGGCTTTGTATGTTTAGCTAATGTCTAGTAGCTCATCAAGATGCTATTTAATTTACTGAATTTGACAAAGGGAAACATTATGAATTTGTTCACTCGTTGTGTTTCCAGGTGGGGCCCTGAGTTTTTTATCCAGGTTGCTGACGACCGGGTTCCAGCCCCAGAGTCCACTAGGAAGTTCAATAAACTCACCATGAGCTGGACAACCAGTGTCCACACTGACGTAATCCCATCTTGTGCTGCTTGCAGTCATCAGTTTCCTCACATGGTCGCTCATTCCAGAAACTGCCCTATGCTTAGATAATAAACAGACACCAGGTTGCAGGGTACTGGTTTAGTTTGTGTTACTTTGCCGTCCATAAGAAAATGAGTGCCTGACCCAAATTAAATATTCTACTTTGGGTGGATTTGTCTCTTGGTCCACACCCAGGTTTATCAACTAGAAATGGAAACAGGAGAGGCTCTGACTCTTAAATGGTCCCCTAACTTGCATTAACTAATTTTGCTCCTCATACATACAACAAATGTTTAGTGAGTATCACTGTGTAGTAGGTCCTGGAGATACTGTAGTAACTTCAACCCATACACACAAGAACCTTTGGATGGTGTGGGGGAAAAGCAGCATCGAGCCAGGGATTATAGATATAAGAGTAACAAAGGGAGACAGGATGCTAAGCTAGTTGGTGAGTTCAGAGAAGGCTCCCTGAGAATGTGAAGTTTGGGGAAGACTCTCTGATGATGCTCTGAAGGAGAGATGAAGAAGTTACAAGCTTAGATATGGGGAAGGAAGTGTGGAGGGGAATCTTCAATAGCATCATCTCAGTTGAGTGACAAAGTAACTCTACAAGGTAAGTGCTACTGTTCTGGTTTACAGTCGAGGACACTCGGGTTCTGGGAGGGCAGAGCCTTATGCATTGTACCATGAGGGCAACCAGGTCAAAGTGAACATGGGTGAAATATAGAGATAAGTAGCAGGTGATAGAGATAGAGGGTGAACCACCGGAAAGACCACATCCTCAAGCAACAGGGGGCTTTGAAAAAGGCTTTTAAAGGATGGGGCTCCTAATTGGATGTGCACTTTAGGGGCTACCCTGATTGGTGTGGAGAATAGACCAAGGGACTCCTAGCATTCAGGAAAACAGAGGCAGGAGGATCCTGGACTCAGGGCTAGCATGGCTTCCATAATGAGTTTAAAGCCAGCCTCCTGAACTACATTTTGAAACTCTGTCACAATTTTAAAGGGGGGGGGTTTAGCTCAGTGATTCCACCACCTGCCTTGGCAAGCACAAGGACCTAAATTCGATCCGGGTACCAATAAATGAATGAATGAATGAATGAACGAATGAATGGGGGCGCTGGCTTGAATCTGTCCCCTGATCAGGAACTAACAAGCTTCAACTATCAGAGATGGAAGAAGGAAATATCAACACATTCAAATGACACATGAGGAGCCTGGCGTCGTGGCACACACCTGTCATCCCAGCACTCAGAGGCTGAGGCAGGAGGATCACCATGAGGTCTAGCCAGCCTGGGCTACATAGTGACTTCAGGGTCAGCCTGAACTACAAAACAAGACCCTGTCTAAAAAAATTAAAAAATGAGTAAAACAATGTTCCCCACTATTTAAATGTACACAGGAAATTAAAGACACTAGAATTCAGTGTTACAAATCTTTCAACTGGACAGAATTTATTTTATGTACACATCTCTCAAAGCATAATCCCAGGTTCTAAGCACTACATAAATTTCTAAATGAGCTTAAATGTAAACCACATTTATTTCTCTATCATTAGTTCTGTTAAACTGAAGGCTCCTTCCTGCTTCTACACAGACAGCTTACTAGAACCCATCTGTAAGAAGTATGCCTCCAGGGCAAACGTCTCTATGTTTCAAGAATAAAATCATGCCACGTGCAAGAAAACACTAATGGAGATCATCATGCTAGGTGAAATAAGCCAGACTCAGAAAGACAAGTATTGTATATGTTCCCTAATAGGTAGGATCTAGGGGAAAAAAGAAGGCATAAAAGTAGAAGCGAGACTACTAAACAAGATCAAGCGGAAGGGAAAGTAGAGAGAAAGGAAGGATAACGGAAGACTAAAATGATCAAAGTACATTATATGCATATATGAAAATGCCACAGAGAAACACACTACTCTGTCAATTTATATTCACTCACTGTATATTAGGGGGCGAATGAAAGGGGGGAAAGTAACACTTTTTGTATAGTTTTGCTCACAACTGTATTCCCATCATGCAAAACACCCAGAACAGGCCCTCAAAACTCAAAGGAAAACTCCAGGAACAGGAATAACTGGGGATTAAACCTGGGGCCTTTGTACGCAGCTACATCCTCAATCCCTTTTTTATTTTGAGACAGGGTCTCACTAAGTCACCCAAGGATCAAGTTGCAATCCTCCTGCCTCAGCCTCCCAGAGTGCTGGGATAACAGGCATGTGGCACCGTGCCCAGCCAAATCACTTTTATAAAACGGTTCATTCAGCAAAATTTACAACACATTAAGAACTTACACATATTGAAGATTTTCACAGACATGTTTTGGACCATGACTTGACATGTCATAAGGAAGCATCATTGTAGGTATTATTTGGGGTATTATTCTTTCCTCTGTCATTAAACAAACAAGAATTGTTATACAATTACATTCTTTACAATGCACCCAGGTAATATGCTCACTGTAATCTCAAATTGTTTCATACAAGTATGACATTTTATTTCACTTAGTTAAATTTTAAATTCAATATAAAAAACAACGTATTTTACTTCAGTGAACTACAGCCAGAAACATACAAGAGGAGAAGCCGCTGGTAGATGCCCACTGCCAGAAACTGATTCAGGATTGGACATGGAGCCCAGGAATATGAGAACCACTGTTCTATATTAGTGCTCTTTCCACACAGCAGTCACTCAAAAAGATACTCACTCCTCAATAATCTCTAAATGTTGCAAAGAAATCCTCTATTATTTGTGCTGAAGACAGTAAAACTAAATCCCTCCTTCATTACTCTAAGTGTGAAAGCATCATATCACAGAAAAGTAATATCACAACCTAATAATTGTCACTTTCCCTGCTACCAACTGTAGTCTTCCTACAGAACAATGCAAAGTGATATACTGTAATTACCTCTGATAGCTAAAAGCAATCCCAAACAAAACAACTTTTGATTTCCCAGAGTCAAGACAGAAAAAACCACATCATTTAACCTGGTATTCAACACTTTTACAATCTGACTTCTAATTATCCACCTTCCACTACCTCTCCCCTAAGTGTCTTCCTGAGCTTGGGGCACACCTATCTTATTTCCTTCCCCTCCTACCCGTTAAGTTTGCCTACTGAATATACACTCTTTAGGTCTCAGTTTAAATGGCCTCCCTCAATAACCCCACTTATAATTATTCTTACAAGAACTTACCATATGCAGGAAAGGGACCTTAGAGCCTCTATCTGGTCCAGTGTTTTTTAAACTATTTTAACAGCCAGATAAGATTTTTCTTTTCCTTCTTTGGCAATATTGGGGATCGAATCCAACACCTTCTTACTAAGCTATATTCCCAGCCTTTTTCTATGTTTTAAGACACTGTCTCACCAAGTCACTAAATTGCACAGGCTCGGTTTGAATTTGCAACCCTTCCACCTCAGCAAACCAGACTACTCGGATTAGAGTTTTGCATCACCATGCTCAACCACAGCTACATTCTTTAAATGCTTTCATACCTTGAAAAGACATCATGGTGGTATATGCCTGTAATCCCAGCTACTTGAGAGACTGAGGCAGAATGATCACTATTTCAAGGCCAGCGTGGGTAAATCCAGCCCCATTTTAAAAAATAAAAGTGTGGGGGTGTAGTGGACACTAGGGCATAGTTCAGTGGTAGAACTCTTGCTTACCACAAGCAAGGCCCTGGATTCAATACCCAGCACACACACAAGAAAAAGGCAGAAAAGACAAAAATAAATAAATAAATTTTTGTTTTCAGGGAAACTTCTTGA